GGATACCATCTTTGCTCTGGACTCGCGACGCTTCAAAAGGACGCTCACGCTCGAGGCCGCGCAGCGCATCTTCAGCTTCCTCCTCCATGCTGTCCTCGTCCGAGGAATTATCGCGAGCCTTTCTCCTGCTTGCGCGGAGGCGCTGTCGAGTGGATGCGTCATCTGCCGCTCTGTTCGCAGTGCTAGCAGGCCACTCCACCAATGCGAGAAAGATGGCCACGTAGCCGAGCAAGAAAGAGACGTTAAATGCAGACACCCAGATGACGTAAGGTAGATTCGCCTGATCCACGCGCAGAGATGTCGGTCTCAGCTGGCTAGTGCTCAAGCCGCATGCAAGCAAGCCCACTTACCAATCTCCGGCTAGCGACTCGTTCTGCGGGCGAGACCAAAGCTAGCAGCCCATACGCCATCCAAAAGAGCAACGACAGGCTGGCAAGTACTTCGCAAAGCTTTTCGTATTTGGGCTTGTTGCGCGAAACGCTTGCTCTTCGGTAGGCGTAGTAGGGATCCAGAGGCAGGACATAGTGCCCCACATCTAGACCTATGAGGTACAAAGCAAGATAGCCTGCGCAGTACTTGCGCTTAGCCTGGGGTGCACAGAAGGTACTTTGGACACGGCAAGACGACTCACCTGCGAGTGAAATGATTCCCTCTTTGTTGGCACTGAACAGCGAAATTCGGGGACCTGGCCCAAGGACATAGCTCTGAAGGCGAGTCAGGCGCAAAAGAATCTCGTAGGCTACGGTCCGTGTATTGGGAAATGCATCAGCCTTGCCGTTTGCACGTATTGCTCTCGAGACTTACCGATACCAATTCCGATCCCGATCACACTCCACCGCGCGTTGCGCTGCCGTGCAAGGGGCCGCAATATTGTAGCTAGAGGCGGCAAGAGCGCAAGAGTAATGAAGAAATTCCAGTGCACGCCATACTCCGAAAGGTGTTCCTGAGCGAGGGACAGGCACATAATTGCGATGTGTAAGGTGGGTTATGCTGACACAAGCACTCAAGGACAGGGACTCCGTGCAACACACCTGGTAATGCGACCCTTTGACAGCAACCACACGGGCGCCTCCAAGCAGAAGCAGAGGGACTGCTTTTCTCACTTCCCTCAAAAGCGATGCGCGCACCGGTTCGTAGCGCGTCTGTGCGCGCAGCAGCGGTGCAGCGTTGATGAGGCCTAGGCTGAAGACGAATGAGCCCACTCCAAGGTCCATCTGGGGAAAGCCTTAATGTCAGTCTCTGCACTGAGCGTGAACCAGCAAGCGTGCCACTCCCATCCACACACGCCAAGAGCTGCTCCTGACCATCGTACTCACTACGCTTACGCCCCAACTTTCGCACTTTGCGTCCCGACCAACGTCAAAAGCTCGAGGAAAATCGACAGCAAGAATGCAGATGAGGGTCATGAGCATCATGTGCGCGCGGTACACCGTCAGGAAGGGCCTTGACCTCGGGACGGGTGCGGCCTGCGCAGCAAGCGGAGTGGCTGCACCGCTCGTTGATTTCAAAAGGGGTGACACATCGCCGTCGGGTGCAGTTGGGGCCGGCGATCTTGTCAAACGCTGTGACAGCTCGTGCTCGGCGCCAGACAAGCTGTCAGATGTAGCGCGACCCAACGGAGACCGA